TTGGTGTCAGAACTGGCCTGCTATTCAGTTCCACGATACAGAATGATTGCAACGGGAATGCTCCTACAGACTAGTAAGCTCTGTCCGACTTCTCTGCTCCTTTCAAAGTACTCTATGAACGTACAATCGGGAAAAGAAAGGCCTGCACACTTTCGGCTGAGGAAACGTGCAAGATGAGCAGGTGCCATGAAGGATTCAACATGTCCAAGTATTTCAAGTTTGATTTGCAAATCTGTTCTTCAGCTGTTGTTGTTTGTCTAGAATCAACATATCACGGCCTCCACAAAAAAAGATGATTACCAATATCCAGTGGTTTTACAACGGGATCAACTACAACCGTTCCTTGGTTTAACGGCAATTCTCTCTCAATTAACGTCTTCTAAGCATTATCATGTCCAATAGATAAATGATCCAAACTCATGATATGCCAGTTTTGTTGTTATTTTCAAGATAAATTTTTATTATTTTACAGAGATCTACTTGGACACATTTCTTAACAACGTTCTTAGACTCTGAAGAAGTGTGCTGTAAGTTCTTTGTTTTTTCATGGTGGGGTGTGGGGGGAACCAAAAAACCCATATCTGGATTTAATTACAGAGGAAAAATTTAAGTGTTCAAAATCTTTTAATGCTTCCAGCATCCTTAAAATAGCATCCAGTTTTCTTTTGAAGTGCAAGTCATCTTTCTTTTCAAATTGATTTCAGTTGTAAGATCCATGCTCCTCTTGGACATGGACTAATTTAAATTTAACCTTTACCTTCAATGCTTGGAATCTCTCCATGGTAATGCCAGATTTTCAACAATATTCCAGTGATCAGGTCTGTGGAGCTCATCTCCTCCCTCCTCCCACCCCAGCCCTTTAATCTTACTGAAGGAAATGAGAAAGAAAGTTGTCTTACCGATAACTCCAAGGTTAATGTCCCTTGCGAACCCCACCTAGCAAGTCGACATCATGACATGTCAGGTCAGCCTCAACCACGCTTCCCTGATAGTCAGGTAAAAGGAAGGAGTTAAAATACAAAACTGACACTTGCAGATTTCTGGACATCAGAAATGTGATGCAATATATTCTGAACTGTCTTTCAGAGCTTCTGGTAACCTCCAAGTTGTTAAAACATTTCTTCAGAGGGATTCTCCTGCTCTAAAATTTCAAAAGTTCCTGATCAATACCCAAATACTGCAGATCCACCTTGACCATTTTGTTTGAATGAGAACAAAAGCTTAAGATTTCCCTTTAACATGAATGATTTTTTCCCCCCCTACTCTACACATTTTATTAACTATTACACGCTCAACTCAGCCGCTCTGGGTTTCAAAAGACATTTTAAGCCAATAGACTACAACGGCTTCATTTGAATTCTAAGTTAACAGAAGCTCTAACTTTCTTTTTTCTTTAGGAAAGACAGGAAACACAACCTGGTACACTCTTTTCTTTCTATAAGGCTCTGATCTGCTTAAGTAGAATGACAGGGTTCAATCCGACAAACCTGCATTGGACAAGCAATCCTTAATCACAAAAGCACTCCAAGTCATGCCTGATCAAAGATTATTCATGACAGTTTAGCAGGACAGGGTCCTTGCTGTTCTACGTACAGGGCACCATCATTGCTGGGTAATAATTAAGTCTTGCTGAAAATCCATTGGGGTCTACAGGTCTAGGTACCAAGTATGTTTTACTAAGAGGTTACTAAGAGGTTCAAGACTTTTTGCTCAATACTTCACGGGTTTTTTTTGCTAGCCTTATAGTAAGAGTGTGTTCTGTATTTTTTTCCTGTGTAGTTCAAAATACAGAAATGGGCTTCATGTCCAAAAGCAAAGGGGACAACAAGCGGTCAGGTTTTTATACAGAGTCAAAATCATGCGGTGATCTACTTAAGAGTTTATTTTGAAAAGGTTTAAGCAATGCAGTTGTCATTCTTCCTAGTAATTAGGCTACAAAAGCCGAGTCCTGATAAACAATTGCTACCAAAAAATCGAACCTTTAATGCTTTTAAAAAATGCAGACTATGTTTAATTAATTAATAAAATTAAAAGCTGAGTTTAGTAAACTGATTTTGTTATTAATAATAATGTGAAAGTAAGTCTATAATAACATAACAGTTGTAAAAATCTTTTGCTCAGGTTTTGGAATTGCTAGGAATCTGGCAACCTACTTCTTATTTTTTAAGTCAAACACCTTATCAATACAGACATTTAAGCAACTGCTATAAATGAGTGATCAAATGACTATTAAAATCCCATTTCATGGCTCCTCCTCCAACGCCAGCAGGACACTCACAACAGTTTAATATTAGTTTGCAAGTTGAAATTCATTTTCACCATATTCTATAAGAGGATTTTTGCTAACTTATACTGAAGAAACAATCAAAACAGATGCACAAGATTAAATTTAAATTTATTTTTTGTTTTGACTATATATCAAAACTGTGCTGAGAAGATAGTGCACAATTTTTCCCTTGAATATCTGTCATCAGGCATGATAGATTTTTCCACTGTGCTAGAGTATCTGTTATTTTTATTGAAAATAACTTTTTCAATAATTTTGTAAGTTCTTCAAGTGCAGTATACACCATTACTTTAGTAAGTTGTAGTACACATTATCTTTAAGGATTCAGTAAAGCACTGCTGCAAATTTAAATAGTGAATTTGAGTATCCGTAAAGTATGTAAATCAAAGAACTTGTGTATCTTGTGATTATAAATGTTTACTGGTTTTAATTTTCAGTTATAAAAATGTATAGCTTCTCATATTCAATAAAAATACTAGGATAAATGGTGATTTGGGCAGAAATAAATACAAGATGCAGCTTTACAACTCTTGAGGAAGAAAATGTTAACATTTCTGTTCCTTAGTTGTTTTGCATACATTATAATTGAGGTGTTTCACTGAGCCCCCACACCCCCCACAAGCATGCACTAGCACTTCACCTCTCCTGGGCTAACACTGGAAACATGCATAAGGGAACTCTATCTTTCTTCCAGGATGAAGAGTACTTTAAGTTTGATTTCAATTAAGCTCTCTTGTACCAGATCCCCTTTACAGTGATTACTGAAAAGCAAAATACTTATTGGGACTACAGGGTTCTGCTCAACACCACAAAAGCTATATAATTACTATAAAGTCATACAGATAAGGACAGCAAACCCTTGAATTAGAACAAAATTACAAGCCAGATCCTTAATACAAGCAAAAGCCTGAAATGTATACCCAGGCGATACCCCTCTGACTTCACTGCTCAATAAGGAACAGAGAGGACAGGATTTGGCCCCGTTAACTTTATGAAGTTTTTTTTTTTTAAAAAAAAACCCAAACAAAACACAAACACTGAAAAAAAACTCAACAGAAAGTCCTTTTCCCTTTTGTTAACACATTAAATACTGATTTTGAAAAGCAGTTTAAATTATTTATGACCAATTCTATCACTTTGAAAGAGCCAGACACAGGGACAACCCCATTTTTGAGAACCAGATACACATCCTCACTTGAATTCAGGTCAAAACTCAAACCATGCAATGATACACCAGACCCACAACAGTAACGTGTGGGAAGGCTCATCCTTCTGTTTACATTCTGACATAACACACTTGAGACACCAGGCAGGAATAGAAGACAAAGGGAGGAGTATGACCACTGAAGTTTAACTTCCTCAATAGTCTGTGTTTAGAATGCTGTAAATCAAGTCTGAGCAATGTATTTGATTTGGATATTTAGGTCCGGCAATAGTTTTCTTTAGAGAAAGTTTAAATCCGTTTGTTTCTCTCTTTTCTTGAGAAGCAAATGTTCTTCATTGGGGTACAGAATGGCTCAGATGCAACAGAAGAGCAATGTCATGACTTGACAGTTAAAATTGACATCTGGGAATGTCCAGGACAAGGGTCAAAGCAGCAACAATACCCCAATAATGTAGCTATAGTAATGCCCCAGAAGATACTACGTATGTTTTTTAAACAGCCTTTATTACAAGGCATGAGAATTCTAAGGCAAATTGTTCATCATGGCAGAACATCAAATTAAAACGTCAAGACAGAAATAAGCAGAATATGGAGAGTATGTTTGTGTTACCTACAGCAAGAAGTTGGTTTACTGTGCCACAGCACCCGATTTATAATTCTCGTCTCTAGTCAAATATTATCTTAAATTAGACTCTGATGCTTGAGATCAAAACCATTTCCCTACGTGTCTGTATGCTGAATAATACGATACGGCTGGATTCTAGCAGAATGGCCTCTAGAGACTCCACAGTACATGAGAAAAAGGAACAAAATTAACACCATTGTAGGCTCTGCTTCCTTCTCCACATTACATTAGAAGATTGCATTTAATTTGAATTTCCATAAATGTTTGGATACATTTCAACACTTTTTAAAAGAAAAAAAGTTTCAAAATTAGATGCTGGTTAAGTTATTGAACAGCAATTAAACAAAGAGTGCCCTCTGGGCTATCTGTAATTTCTCCTAGTTTTCAGTCTGATGTCCACAGTGCTACATGTTGGAAAGCACAAGAAATTTTGCATGAATTTGATCACTCACATAGGCAGTTATACTTTGAAAACAATGTTTTTCGCAAGAATTACCAATGAAATAATGTTTTAGGACACAATTGAATTTGAAATAGGTAATGTTTTGAATAGATTTTTGAGTTTTATTGAAATCTTACATGAACAAGAAATTGGAAATACAATCACATCAAGGAACAAATTGCCACGGCTTTGACGTTTTAAGCCAAACAAATTTTGTAGGGCAGATTTTCAAAAAGGTGTGAAGTTATAACAATTTAAAAACACAGTTAACCTACTTCTAGGAATGCAAAACATACAATCATGTTATTTTCAATACAAGAAAACTTAATTTGTTGTAATTTCTTAAAACTACTAAGACAAAGCACTAGCTTTTACTTTTATGTACAGCATACTCCTATGTAGTCTATCCGAAATCCAAAAAAAAAAAGGAAACTGTCCAAAACCAGAGGTTCTG